TAAAATTTATTTTTATTATTCACTAGAATATATAGCGCATATACAGTGCACGTCGATGATTGTATGAGAATTATAATATTTTAACCAATAAGGAAAAAGTCACTCACTTTTCGATATATTTCAATTATTAGCTCACTTTATATGTCCATGTAAATATTTAAATAAGGAGATTTATGTCATTCTTTTATTCAATTCTATTTATATAAAGAAAGATTAAATTACAACTACAGAGTTGTTACTTTAGCTGATTACAATTAAAATTTATTTATTTACTGAAAAGTTTTTGTAGGAAAATTCTTGAAAACAAATAACAACATTTTGTATAAATAACTCATAATCAAACTTTATTAATTGTTAAAAAACAAGTGAATATATTAGAGTAAGTATTCCAGTAAATATATCAGTAATTGATGAAAAAATCGAGAATAAGTAAATGTAAATCTCATTGTAAAAAGTACAATTTATATTTCAGTGGTAACGCAACATAAACCTTAGCTCGCGTGATGATCCAAGGATTGCGACAAAATCCCAAGAACCCTCAACGAAAGCCCTAGAAAGGCAGGGTGTAGAATTAGGGCTGGCAAAGGAACACGCCAAGAAAAGAGAAGGGAATTGAGAAAGAAAAGAACGAAGAATGTTGAGCGCACTTCTGTACCTGCTTCCCAAGAGTTCTTGGCTGCTTACAAACAGACGCTTGTCAGATTTCCTTTATCTCTCCTGAGGCATCTGAAGCGCATGCCAAAGCCGTTCTCTCTTTCCTCCTTATTTTCCATTCTATTTATCTTCTTGCTTAACATCTTCAACCCCTCCTACTTCTCAACTACTCTCATAATACACTCCTCATCTCACTCACGAAGAATAGCGACCCTCAAAGCTTTTAATTTGTCTCCTGGCCTAGTGTGTCTTGTCGTCATTCACGGTTCTTCCATCCCGAATAATCGTTTTCTTTACTTGCTGGCGTCAGGACTCACCCCTGAACTAATAATCAGACAAACAACACAACAATGAAGAGAAAAAAAGCGTCAAAACGAGATCACATCGCGACGAAAGACGTGCTGCAGGTAGTGGAAAAGTAGCTGGGGTCTAGACCACTTTCTATACTCAAGTAGCTCTCTGAAGAGGGATAGTCAGGAAAAAAATAGGGCTCTTGTAAGACTTCTGAAGCCTCTACACACACCTCGTGCAGTCGACGATCCTACCTACTTACCTAATATCTACATTTTCCTAGCAATCGTCACTCTCAATCATCGGATATGTCTAAAAATGTTTCCTCTAACGATAAATACTTGTGTTATTATTATCTCAGACAATTAAAGGATGATAGACTTTTTAACGTGACAGTTATTTCTCTATCAACCTAGTTTCAGTTTTAACTGATCAATAACTTTCTTTAGATAAAGAAAAAATAAACTTACTTTAAAATCTTCGGCTGAATATAACAATATATTTTTCTTCATGTTTTGTAGTGAAAGTTTCCTAACTAATTCAAAATCTGCTACTCATATTGGTTGATCAAAAAAAATATCTATCAATGTTTTCATGGTATACTTTTTAGCAATTGTTCATCAAATGAATTTGCTATAAAACTAAGAGCTTTAATTTATGATGACATTTTATTATTAACTTCCCAGTTAGAAGTTATTGCAATGGGTCCGATTTTGCGAATACCAAATTTTGACAAATCTCCTCGTTTCAAGGTTCCCAGAGTCGAATACAATAGTTTTCAAGTAGACGTCTGTGTGTGTATGTCCGTATGTGCGTTTGAAATCATTTTTTGTCTCGATTATCTCAAGAACAAAAAATGATATCAACGTAGGTCCTATTGCACTCGATAGGTAATTATGCAATTTAGAACTGATTAGATTTTCAGCGAAATTGGTTCAGCCATTTTTGATGCAGAATCAAAAAACTGAAAAAAAAAGTAAACTAGCTAAATCTTACCATTCTTTCCACTGAGAAGTTAGTTGTGTGGACGTTTCGGGTTGCACTCAGACCGTTGTAGCGCACTGATATTTTACTGAATGATACCTTTGTTCATCAAAAAAATATTCATTCAGTTGTTGTAAAAATATTTGTAAAATCTATTCTATTATAGATAACGTTTATAAAAAATATTTAAAAAATTATGCTTCAATGCATAACATCATTTTGAATATAACAATTTATTTAAAAACTAAACAATGTAGTGTAAAGGATTTTCATCAAAAATTCTAGCTTAAATATAACATGTATTGTTTTATATAAAACAAAGCTTAGTATCGAATCAATCCTATCAAAAGTTTTTTCCTATGAACTAATGGAAATTAATAATATTGTAACCAGTCTATCTTATAAAGAAACAACCATTCAATTATCATCTCAATACATGAATTTTAACATACCTTTAATTGTAAAAATATTTCCATTTATTTTGGGACATTTCAAAAATAAAAAAATTCAAGAAATACCAACTAATTTAAAATTAAAACAATATCACTGTTGAATAAATACTCTGTAACATTATCTCAAAGGATTTCTAAAATTTATAGCTTTCATGAATATTACATTCTGATATTCTTTACAAGCTTCTATAATTTTATTGTTCCAATTCAGCACATAAATTTGTTTGATTTCAATAATATATCCCATTACATATAACAATATATTTTAATTTAACTTCATAGAGTATTATCTTATTAAATTCTCTAGTACATTTATTTTTTATTAAATAAACAATTATTAAAGATTGAAAAGTATCATCTTCACCGGTTGTTTTGCTTCTCTTTCTCAAAAAGATAATTCTATCCTCTATTATTTATGCTCACATATTGGGGATTTGATGAAAATCTAAACATTTTAGAAATCAATCCAATATTTTAGTCATTTTATTCAAACTCAACTTAACAGTGAACTTATTTTTTGGAATATTTTTGTTTAATAATTTATGTTTCCTTTAAACTCCTTTAATCCGCAAGACATTGAATCGAATTTTTTACTTGAAATATTTGAATTTAATCCTATTGGTTTTATCACTAAAATCCAATGGAGAGGAAAAATAATAGTACAAGTATATTAATATAGAATGATAAAACTAAATTCCACATGTGATTTATGAATAATAAACTCCAAAACTCTAACTCAAGGAAATTACGTCAAAATAATTTCGGGTTAAACGTTGATGTGTACATAATGGTTAAAGGTTTAGATGAGTCTACGCTTGTTACTATACTGAACATTGTTTCGTATACAAGTACACATAACCACGTAGCGAGATAATAGCCTATGGTCGGGTCAATAGCGATACGCGATAGCGCGAGACAGCAATGCTTCGTTTTCGATCGATCCTCCATGTACCTACCGCAGCGAATTCCATCATTTACCTGAAATTGTACGCTCGTTTATCCCACAAACGAGAAATGCAACGCGAGAGGAAATATAACTGGATACTTTGTTAACGGTTCGTTGCATCTGCTATTGGAGATTGGTTAGACACGCCAAATATTTAATCGACCACACCATGCGCTTTAGTTACAAATTATCGTGCATTGATGTCTGCCAACCAAGTACATTCAAATAAATTTATCAATCGATTAAAGTTTTATCTAATTCCAAATAAAAAGCTAATAAAACATTTGAAAAATTTATTCTGTTCATTTTTCAATGGAACTTCATTCAATTTATCTTCGATCAACGCACTATTTGATAATACTAATAAACCGATGATTTTTATTCGCTACTATTTCAATGATTTAATGCCGTTTAAAAATAGATATTATAAGGGAGGTTTTTAAAAATTTTTTTTAAATATAAAGATTATCAATTTCAAATAATGATGATGAAAGTAAATAAGTTTGTAAAATTTTTGTAAAAGAAATAATAATCTTCATGAACTTCTTTTGGAAAATTAAAAATTAAACACTATTGTATTTCGCTTGAACATTTTTTTATTTATATTCTTACCATCCCGTTAGGAAGTTATTGTAACTGGGTCGACTGGTGAAATTTGAATTGTTATAATATCTTTACGTTTCAAAATATTTGCAAGCATACTGATCAATTTTAGGAATGATGTGTGTGCGTACGTACACATATACGGATGTCAGCATTTTTTTCGTTTTCGATGTCTCAAGAATCGATCAAGATATCAACTTCAACCACAATTTATTCGGAAGATATTATTCTAAAGAAGATCTGAGTGAAATTTGAACAAATTCGGTCGAAGCGTTTTTTATACCAAAAAACTAATAATCAATAGATGAAAGATGAACTATTTAAAATACATTTAAGCGGAAGAATAACAATTTCATCCGAAAATTAAGTCGATATTGACTAGACATTATTGTTCACAAACATATATGACTTTCATTAATTACGCATTGTTGAAAGCAATATAAATTTGTTATAAACAATTAAAATCGTATTAATGAATTAACTGATGCGTGTATCGCACCGATTTGAATTTTTTCGGCAAAATAATATTATTACTGATGAGATGTGACTTTTAACAATTACACATTATTTATAACAATTTTAAATCGTTATAAGCAATTAATCAATTTGTTAGAAACAATTAAATAATGTTATTTATGATGAGATATGACTTTTAATAATTACGCGTTGTTATAAAGAATTTATGAATTTCTTATAAACAATTAATAATGGGAAGTTAGTTTTGTGAATACAGACAAAGTGTGCTCAGACCTATTTTCAATTCCATGATTTTGATTTTTGTAAAATAATTATAAATAAATCCTTTTTTCAGTGCATGTGTTATTTTTTCGAAAATCTTATTAAATAGTAATAATTGATCCAATCAATGCCAGTGCACTATTCATTTTCTTTGTAACTTTCTATAACTCAAACGTATTTTTTTGAAAGCTAATTATTTTGTAAATAATTTTATTTAATTGTTACAATCTTGAACTGAGTTTATTTATCGAATAATATACTATGTATTATTTTCATGAAAAAGCAATAAATAAGAGATTGAAAGTAATAAATGAACAATTAATCCTTTTCAGGCTGGGATTAGTTTCATCATTAATCGAAAGGTATCCAATTGGGGTTGGAGGTGTCTTTTTTCCATCAACACTTCAACACCTTCAACAACAGCATCACTCAAGACTTGCGGCTGTTGCAAGTTCAGCATTAAGCAATGCTGGCCAATCAGATGCTAGTGAATCAGATGGAATACGTGGGGTTTTACCTGGTAACGGAGGCTGGCCGTTTCCATGGAGGCCGACACATGGTCTGCAGAGTCTTGAACATCCATCAAGTGATGTCGTTGGATCACACAGTCGTGTGAGTCCTCCTTCAGGATCCTATCTGAAACGAGGTAAATTTTGTTTCATTTATTATCATTCTTCTTGCACAGGAGATGTTTTAATCAACAACTAATCCGATTAGTTATATAAATAAATATGAAAATTTGCATGAAAAGATTTTTGTATAGAGTACTGGAAAATGTATGATGAATAAAGTTTCCTAGAAATAAAATAAAGTAATGCTTATTATCTAAAAAAATACAGGATAGTTTTATATTATTTGTTTGGAGTAAACTTTCTATGTAGAAGTATCTCCAACCACTAGCTATGAGGAAATTAAAAAACATAATGATAATTGGCTGAATCTAAAAATGATAAGCCATTTGTTAATGGGTTTTTTATTTTCTAAAGTTTTAATATTCTAATGAAAATAAATTAAAAAATTATTTAAAAATATCTAACAACTGAATCGATTTTTTCTTCTATCAACAAAACATTTTAATCAATATGAAATAGGATTACACTATCAATATTGTTTAATTTTAAAAAAATATTATTTTGGAATTCATACCTACGACTTTTGGTTTTGCTTTAATATTTATAAGAATGTCTACTAAATAATAAATATTTTTTTAGAAATTAAAAAAAATTTCAATCTATTTTTCAAGTATTATAATTGATTGAACTATTCAAAATAAAACTCTGAGCTTAATTTTATCCATTTCTTTTAGTAAAATTTATAATGATTAAAAAAAAACAATTTATAACGAAACAATAAAAAGATATGCTTTTCATTTAATTAAATGAACCGCTCTGTTTTGGAATGACAAATTTTACTGACACGTGTTCTAAGTCAATATTTTGTCAACATATGTAACCTCCATAAACTTGATAAAAATCTATTATAATCAGCACACGATGAGTTTATATACAAGCAATTAAACCCATTTTTCAACATGCTATATAATATGCCTTCCTGATGATTATATTTCATAATCAGTAGTGGATCTGTGACTCTATTAACAGTAATATGACTCACATTACTAAATTACTATTCTTAACCAAAAGCTAAAAAATAGTAAAATACTAATACAGTAATTAAAAAATATTTTAAAGGTCTCCAAACATTACAAGGTTAGTTCAATTGAATTTTTATCAGCGTAATCGGTGCTGTCACAAGTAATAAACCACTAATTTAGACCATCAGAAGACCCACCAGGTCATGACCATCTGGTGTTCCCCTTCACCTATCCCTAAAATTGACTCATCTCATTCATTCGTTACCCAGATAACATCAAATTAATACCATCAAACAATAAAATATCTAAAAGTCTGTTCTTTGCTTAAAATGAAATTTGAATTGGTTAACCCTTGTTCGAACTCTAGGGGCTTGCTAAAATATAAATCTGTGTGGGTGAAAAGACAATGAAGAGAATTGTAAAATATGAAAACTATTATAATACAGACATTATATGGTTTCTCTACTTTTTATTAAGTAGCGGGTAAAATACATTTACACTTTTTTTTCAATTTTTTGTTTTTATTGTTGTTTTAGCTGAAAATTATAAATATAATTTCAGGCTTTTTTGAAACTAATATCAAATTTAAAAACAAGTAATATATATTAACATATACATATGTATATTAACATAGTAACAATAAATGTTCACAAACTGAGAGAAGAGTTGACATTTAGACCATTGTTGAAATAATTTTAATTTTTTACGAATATTATTTTAAAAAATAATTTTAAATTTGAAAATTATACATGCATAAAACTTGTCAATGAATTTATTATTAACTACATAAATATTTGTCAAAAATTATTAAACATAATTTGTTAGTTTCAATTGATGCGTCTTTATTTCAGCTAAATTTTTCAAATAAAATTCAATAAAAGTAAAGATCAAAAATTTTCATTAAAAAAGGTTTTTTGATTAAAAAAGTTCATTTCCTTTCTTTTGTATAAAACTTATGATAATCACAAGCGTGTAAATAAAAAAAAAAGATTAAAATTAATGCTATCAAATAACAATAACGAAGTCTGGTTTTAGTTCAAAATGTAATTCGAATTCTTTAACCTTTCAAACTCTGTAGGTCTACTGAAATGTAAATCTGCGTTGGCGAAAAGACAATGAGGGGAATTTCGAGAAAGGATATCACAACGAATATAATACGAGTTCTCCGCGGCTTTTTCAGTTTCTAGTGTGCCAGAGCGTCAGGGGATAGAAAGGTATGAGGTTGGTTTCCTCACAACCGCGACGTGGCCAGCGGGAGGGTGTGATTAAAATTTCGAGGGGTATATTCGTGGTATTCACGAACTCTCGGTGTCTCGGTTGCTTTATCTGTGTCCGCGGTTGTTATGCGTGTAAGGCCGAAACGCTTGGAATTGACGATGGAGTGAGAGGGTTCGGAGGGAAGCAATGGAAGAACCAGAGTTGGGGTTCACAAGGGATAAGAGAGGAATGTTGAACAGAGACAGAGACATTAGAGACGATATACGAGAGGGAGTACGCGCCCATGCACGACTGTACTTGTATATGGCTTCCATGGCTTCCGCTACGACAAACCAACGTCGATCGCCTTATTCTTGTCGATCGTTTTGCTATTGCCACCTTTAGTATAAAGTGTGCTTATGAAGCTACTTTCTCTGTTTATAGCAATTTTCCCCTGTCAACATTTGTCTTACACGTTTTCAATGCTTAAGTGTTGAGCGACAATTTAATCATCATGATAACAAATAAATTATAAAAAGTATTGAACTTTCATTAATTCTCAGCACGTTATTTTCTTATCATCTCATTCTTATGTCTAAATAACTCTATTTTTTATTATTATTTCAATAATGTTTTCACAGCTAAAAATATGTTTATTAAAAATAACGTTAATTTTAGTAATGTACAATTATTTTTATAATGTATGTTTAAAACTTGTCTTTTCAAAACATTCATTAGAATAACTGATTTATTTATTCATTTGCATCTGTTACACCACATTAAACTGTTGTGTGCTTCATACGTATTTTTATTTTTTAAATTCAACCAATTAGAATATGAAATATGAAGAGACGTGGTAAAAGTATTTCTAACGTTTTTGCCTCCTCTCATGAGTACTTGAAATAAATACATTATTTTCTTATAATTTTGATGTTAACATCATAATGATATACATTGAAAATTTAATATGTATATCAAAATTACTCCTTTTTCTGAACATAATTTTTACTACTTAATAATAAGGATTTTTAATAACTGATAAATTAATTAATATTATATTAGCTTCATACAGTAAATAAGAAAATTTATTCAATGAAAAAGCATTTTGGATAGAATGATAGAATCAAATCTTAAACTCTGAAGCAAAAAAAATTCGAATACAATGGATATAATGAATAAATAATGAACTTCAATTTCCAGAAGACCTGGATGATGACAACCCATCAGACGACAGACTACATCGAGGTGGACGAAGTCCTTCAACAGGTGACGAAGTTCATGAAGACTTAGGCGATGATGACGGTATTGATGGTGATGATGGTGAATCTCCTGGATCAGGTGGTCACCATGGGTCATCTACAAGTGGTAGTGGTAATCAAGGAGTGCAAGTCAACGTGAATGGTCAAGACTCAAATGTGAAACGTAAAAAGAAAACTCGTACAGTGTTTTCACGCTCTCAAGTGTTCCAATTAGAAACAACATTTGAAATGAAACGGTATCTCTCATCATCAGAACGAGCGTCATTAGCAGCATCACTTCGATTAACAGAAACGCAGGTTAAAATTTGGTTTCAAAATCGTCGCAACAAATGGAAACGTCAACTTGCAGCTGAAATTGAAGCGTCTAGCATGGCGCACGCGGCACAGCGGCTGGTACGCGTGCCGATTCTTTATCACGAAGCAAGTGGGACAGGGAATACGGTAGTGGCAACGTCAGTTGGAAGTGGAGTATCAGTACCACCACCAAGTGGGACAGCATCACTTGCTGCGTCAACAGGACCACATTCTGTGGGTGTTGCGGTTGGAGTTGGAACCTCTTGTGCTCCGTGCACAACAGCACCTCCAATCTTCTACTCTCCGCATCATCAACATCACCACCATCATCATCCACCGCACGTCCAAGCCCATAGTCTTTTACCTCATCAAGTGCACCCACAACCGCCGCCTCCACCACCGCCACCGCCTAATTCTCAAGCTCAGTCTTCACAATAACCTTACGTTTTACCCCTACGCTCTGGACTCGACGTCCGCTATTCGAGGTTCCTCGCTGCACCGTGATAATCACGACGATACTCTTTATTGTAATATTAATAATGGTGATGATAATTATATTGATAAGTATTGTAAAGAAGAGTTTTATTGCGGACTTCACTTGACATCCAACGCACCGCTTACATCAACGATTCGTACTTGCCCGATTGTCCTAATATTATTATTGATATCGACGAATAAACGACGATGCTACGTGTCAATATACGCGAATATTTGCATTACTTTTTTTTCCTCTTGAATGTCTTTTTTTTCATTTTAACCGCAGAAAAAACAGTTTTTATTATCAAATTTGCTACAATAATTGTGTCCAAATTTATTTTCCATGTTTAACATACGAGAAAAAATATGGCAGCATGCAAAAAAATAATCGAAATAAAAAAAATATAAATGTAAATAAAATACATTGTGATATTGTTTCTGCTATTTATAGAATAATAATAAATTTTATGAACATACAAAGTCATTTATTTATTTTAAAATATTTATAATAATAATAATAAATCAATAGTGTATATATGCATCGTATTGAAACAAAATGTTTAATGATCGAATAATTATCAGATTTTCATGTATTTTATGCAGAGAAGAGATACCTAGAAATGAAAAAAGTGCAGCAGAACAAATGATCATGATGTTTAAATATGATGGTTATACTGTGTGTATTTTAAAGACTGTTTTTTTCTGTATAAAAACATAGATGATAGAAAACAATTATTGAGAGTCATTGTTCGTAGTGTAGCTAAAAAATTTACTGCTTGAGTGCACGGGCGGAAGCGGTTAGGAGTTTTATAAGTGAGTGAACATTATGATGATGTGTACGTCGTTGTTCTCCAGGGTTTTTAACTCTGTTTTCGTCGGTGTTTATCACTCACCACGATGGAAACCACAAGGGAGCATATCCGGGTGACAATACGAAACGACTCACATTTGAGTAAAGCAACTAGCAAGGCAACCTAAGAATGTGCACTTCAATCATCGTTTCCATATATATCTCGTCGTCGTACACCATCGCACCTTTGCTCTTTGGTCTCTGATCTCTGAACGAGAGTTGTCTTTCATCTGTTTTCCTTTTCTTCCAATATTTCTTTTTCCCTCGATCTCTTTACTTCTCTATTTCTTTCTCCTACATGGCATTATATTCTCTCTTCTTCTTTTGAACAGCCACATAACTTCTTGGAGGCCGTTGGGAGTTGTTGGTCGACAAGAATTACACTGTACCTATACCTTTTCTCTACTTGTATATGTTTACCCCTTTTTACAAATCCTCACTCCCTTAATGCTTTCGAACCTCTGCAAAATTGCAGCGGCTTTCATTTTTATCACTCGAATGCTTTTTCGTTTACATTGACTCATTTCCGCATATACCAATCCAACTTTCGAGAAAGTTAAATTGATGAAACAGCTTTCATTAGTCTTCCCTTTTGTTATTTTAACTTTCAACTCCACAGAAAAAATAATACACCGAACATGAGAATGACAACTAGTTTCTTTTTTTTTTTAAATTATACAAAAAAGTTTTACTACTATCAGAACATGTTTTGCTACCATTTTGCTACCAATAATTGTTTTAGTGTACGACTGAAATAAAAATTTCCTTACGACAAAGACACGTTTTGCTGTAGAGGATATATCTATACTTACTGTGAAGTTATGTAACTTCGAGTTATTAATTTTGAAAATGAATTATTTTAGGGCATAATAAAATAGAAATCAGTTTTATATCATCTAAAATGGTATGATTCTTCCAGGATCATATTACCGTAATAATATGAATCGTTTATCAACTTCTGAAATTCCACAACAAAACTACTGTTTTCTGGTAGTATTGTAACTTTTTTTTTTAGTGTACGTACTTTGAAAATATTTTCGCATTTTAACTTTAAATAAATTATACATAGATTAATTACAAACAATGATACATTCATTAAGCAATGATATTTCATATTCTTTCCATTTATAAAATTCTGTAATTGGAAAATTTCTAAAACACAAAACAACAAATTTGTACATTTTTTATAATCTACATTAATTTTATTTAAACATTAATTAGAAAATTTTTTATAACACATTATATTTCAGTGTAAAAAGTGTACATAATATATAATTCAAGGAACATATCTTTTTAAGTAAATAAAATATGTCTCTTTGTAAAATTATACATTTTTTGAACGCCTCTTACTTTATCATATCCATTATCTCGTCAAGCTCATCGACTCGAAGAGAAATGGACATCATTCAAGGATCACATATTAAAGAGAACGAGATAAAAGGAAAGAAAAACGTCTAGGTATCAAGTTTGCAACGGATCGAAAGTTTGCCGGTCACATTATTGTCACCCCGGCAATCTGGAGTCGAATTGCGGGTCTTTACTATTACTGTTGTCGACGTACTCTACATCTCCGCCCTTTTCCTAACGCGTGTATCGTGCCCCGGAGTAATTTAACGCGTAAAGGGGATGACAATGGACTCGAGAGAATATATAGTGTGCCCCCGCAGTGTGTTAGCACCCCCTCAGTATACACCCGTGTAATGATCGTGTTACGTATGTGTTTGTTAAATCTCCCTGGTCAAAGAAAAATTGCCTAATAACGTGACGACTTTCCTTAAGAAATAATCCAAATAAAAAGCCACCCATTAAGTACTATGGGTGTTACCTCAAATTTCCATTACATTTCAATGCTTTTTTAGAAAAGAAATTAATCCGATTTTTCCTTCACTCTGAGGGATAAAATAATTTTCAAAAAGACGAGAAAAGTAATTTAATAAAGAACTTATTTTCTAAGGATGATGGAAAAATCATAATTTGATGCTTTGACACAAATAAACGTATATAAAAGAACCTTAAGTAATGTGGACCAACTAGAAACATTACTATTAATTTATATCAGTTTTTTTTTTACAAAAGGTAAGTTAAAAAAAAGATATTTCAAAAGAGTTCAATAAATTTTTTAATGAAAAACATTTTATCATAAATAAATAATTGAACTGTTTTTCCTTACATCAATATAATGGTGTAATAATGTTTACCATGATCATGAAACTATGTCCCTTGTGATTGCAGGATATGCATAAATGTGTGTAGTGGAAATAACAGTGGCATTGAATACAATACTATTATAGACATGTAATTCAGTAAACGTTAGAGAATAGGTTTATATACTCAATTAAATAATAGTAAACCAAATGCATATTGATCTAGGGGAGCATAGATGTAGCAATTAGGTCAGGAATATTTTTGCAGCAAAATTGTAACGTTTCTTGTTATAGTGAGACACAAAGAAGATTAAAAGCAATTATGTAATAGAAATCAGCTAGAATAATAAAATTATCGAAGAATAATTCAATAAATTTAAAAGATGTAGCACTTAGTTTTGAGTAATTATTTAAAATTTTCTTACAAAAAATGACAGTATTTAATTTTTTTTATATCTATTTCACTAAGTTTCTTTTAATTTGTATAAACGCACCATCTGTATACTCATTCATTTTAATTCACAAAAAGAGTTGACGTTCTAGCCCATATTCAAATGATGTGCATTGTATCTGAACACTTCAAGGATTAAGTAATCAGATAACGATTTTTATATTGTAACATATCATAGATATTTTTAATTGGAAGTGGAATGAATAAGATGTATCTAATTAGTAATTTTTTTTTTCATCTTTTACTTTACAATACAAGTAAGTAGATATTACGAAAAGAAATAAAACTTTTTCCGAAACTGTTTTCTACCCCCAAAATCAATTTTTAGTTGTAAAATCACTGTATAAAAATGAAAAGCACCAGAATAATTACTAAAACATAAAACTAATGAAAGAGATAAATGCTAAAGTGCAAATTTAAAATCGACAAGCATAGTATGAACAAAGATTACTCCAATACTAAAATCGAATGTGTTCAGTAGATAGTATAATTTGAAACAGCTTTATGTAAGTGATAAAAAAAATTCAGTTCTCATTTGGAATTGATAAAAATTTTTATAACCACCCTAAGTTGGTTTTTGATAGCAAAAAGATTAATTCATATTTTACTGATGATAAAGGAAAAAAATATATCAACTATTTAATTTTTGTATTGTTTACTAGCTTATATCCGCAACTTCATCGACGTAAAATGATTGCAAACTTATTACAATCCATTAATGAACATAATAATATTTTTACTAGAATAGCCCATATTTACCTTCCCCCTTATTAAAAATTATATTATTATCTCGAAAGTTCGACAATGTTGTAAAAATTTTTAAAAGCTTTAAAAACATCTAGAATTTTCTATAAAATTTTAAAATATTCAAGAATCTTTTGTAATTATCTCGAATTGTTAAAGAGAATCTGTATTTTCCTCAAAAATTTTTAAATTGTAAGAAAAATTTAGAATTTTTAAGATATTTTTAGAAAGTTTAAGAGAATCCTACAATTCCCGAGAAACTCTCGCCAATGACGTAATTTTTATTTTATGGTGTTTTAAAATTTTTTAAAATCTTATTGAAGTAACTTAAAGGTTAAAGGAAGTTGCAAAATGTGAATCCGTTAACAATTATACTCCAGTATATTATTCCAGAGTATATTCAGATTATTTCTCTTCTATCTTATTGCTAAAAGTTGTTTATATTGTTATTACCAATAGCAATTGTTATAAACAACAATTTTAAAAAAGTTACCTGTATCACTTCTGATATCCACCTCTGGAATTGTCTGCAAAGTTTCATCGGTATCGGTTCACACCGATCAGTCTGGACAGACAGACAGACAAACACAAATTCTAAAAACTGTCATTTCCGTTTCAACACTTCGCGAATAACCCTCTAAGTTTAGTTTTAAGTAATTTTCGTAAAATCACAGACTCACACTCGAATTTTCTTTATATAGATTCTCAACCACTATTAATTTCTCAATTGAGCTCTCATTAATCATTAATCAATCATAAAATATTTACTTAAAACAAAGGCATCATAGATGTTATCAGTTGAATAAACTATATATATAGCGTGTATTCGATAATAATAAAGTTGTTGTTTAAGTTGATGACAATTGGGTAATTATTAGCAGGCTTCGATGAAACAACAGCTGTTAGATGGTTAGAAGCGAAGGATCATGATAGAGAGACAGATGACGCCGGAGGTTTAAATGTATCGTGTCACGTTTGGACTACTCCTATATGTTACTGTATCTCTTTGTCCATTTCATCTAATTTACAGTCACACTCCATTATCGCGTGGTGATCGTTTCGTCGGCACGTAGTTACATGACTTGA